CTCAGTCTCTTCTTCAAGTTGCATTTATTTTTCATTTATATTAATGACAAAGTCTCTATAAAAAAAAGAAGTGGTTGAGATAGGTCGTACTATTAATGTTTATGTGTTCAAAAAATGATCGTTGATACTGTCAGATTTTTTATGAATTATTATATTATTACTTGGGCGATCATTATTTTGTCAGGGTATATTCATTTATTTACACTGCCCTGGATAAAGATTGTAGAGGTGAGACGATGATCGATTAAATTTGCTTGAATTCGTGTAACACGATCCCAGAAATATTACGTTTGTCTATGGAAGACTCTAATTCCTTTCGATTGCAGTAAGTCAGATAATAATTTGAATTCGTTCTTATGAAAGGTGTACATCTAAGAATTTGAATACGACTGTATTATATCAAAAGATTCGAATAGGGTGAATGACTGATAGTAAGTACTCTCGTGTACATAAAATCAATTGATGATAACGTAATAATTAGAGTATCTAGCTTACACACGTGCACGACTAAACAGCGCATATAAGTAACATGTTCAAATTATTAAGAACGTCGTATAAAACTCGGGCTTTGTGCAATATAGAATCTTATGTAAAACATAAATTGAAATCTATCTTAAAAATATTATTTCTTTCTAATTTATATGTAATTATCGCATTACCAAGTGTTCTTGTAATTACATATGTATCGAACGGGTGTATGTCTGTACAGAATTTTATACAGAAAATTGTAAAGCTGCCATTTGTACGTGTAAGTAGATTACAAATGCAATCGCACGTTAGTGCAGAGTCTGCACGTGCACTGTGAGAAATTAGTAATTAGGTTCCTGTATATAACAGTCGTCTGTTAATAATCAGGACAGTTTGTAGTACACGTAGAGTAAATAATTCAATGAATTAACTATTGTACGGAGTAAAAATGCTGTTTGTACGAACGGGGGGGGGAAGTTGGTATTCATGTGAAAGAGATAAGAATGGGTATACGTTTCATAGCAAAAATCACTATAAACAAGACTGCAATATCTGTCCAATTTAATGATAAACGTATTATATATACAGTTGGGATTATCAGCGCTTTTTCATTGACTCAAAAAACTGTATATACATACATAAGTCGTCTGTTTTACTTCAATACAGCAGAACGTCTTTCGAGGAAGGGGTATTAAGTTCTTATCATAGTATCACTTCTTTGAAACAAGTTCCATTGAAGTGAATCACGACTTATGTGTATATAATTGAACTCTCTATTGTAAGAAACGGACGAACAAAAAACTGAGTGTATATATCATCGCGCAAAAATTTAGGATTATTTATTTAATGGGTAAAAGGTCGTTCCCAGAATTATAGCGTACAATGTATATTGCACATACATTACGCATGTAATGGAATATTTATGAAGTTTATAAACGTTAAACAGTATCAAAAAAAAAAAAACGTTACCGATTCACGCTCACGTTTTTACTACCTAACAATTGTACACTATAGATTACTAATTAATTAACGTTAAGTGAACAATGTAACGTCGTACTGGTCCTTGGAAATGTGCATTGATTTAGCTTTTCGACGGATGATTAACACGTTCCGTGCCACGTGTACCATAAATGGTACACGTTAAACTTGATCTTTAGGCCACGTGTAAATGTAGAAATATTTATTTAATGCGCTGAAACATCAAGTGGCCTGAACGATAAGTCGGGCAAAAACGGCTTGGCACGTGTTAAGCTTGGTGGCTTTAGTCCTGAAAATCCACTCGAGCAGCGTTAAAACTGCTTGCTTATGAACAAAGGTGTGCACAGATTCGCGT